AGAGAGAGAGAGAGAGCGCGTAAAGTGTACTTCAATTTCCGAAAACGTGATTAAGAGATGTTTTTTGTGAACAATATTTTACATCATTTTATAGAATAAGCGTAACATTCAAACATTCATAAGAGTCTCAAAACATGAAATTATAAAAGAGAGATAATTATACGGATCGAAGCTTACGCTCTATCTCTATGTCTCTCTCATTTACTCTCTCCGGCAATGTTTGTGCTCTTGTGTTGTAAACCTAACAAAATATAAGATGAGATGTGAAGTAGAGTTAGAGAGAGAGAGAGAGAGAGAGAGAGAGAGAGAGAGAGAACGTGGAGAGAGGACTGTAAGCCTAATAAGTTGTGCAAACTATGTGTGCTCTCAGTGTTTGTCTGTCCCTCACATCAGACACTGATCAGAAGGGATGAGAGGAACGGCTAAACACCACAGCATTCACTCAAAACACTAGTAGTTGTAAGAGACAGAGGCCTCCCATCCCTGTCTTCCCCCGCACTCCTTGTTAACGCTGAACACGAAAAGACTTGATTTTGCAACAGATCTCAACTCAAACCTTAACTACAAGAGTAAAGAGGATTTCCAGAGACGATCCCATCTATTATTCCTGTCGTTGTTATGCTCTTTACTTATGAGCCCTTACTTTAAATTTTTGGATCATTTAATCAATTTGTGTCCAAATGAATGGCAACACTAAAACAGGAAATGTTTTTCCATATAAATAATATAAACGATAATCTATTAGATCATGGATTAAGACTAAAATAGACTTTCTCTTAAATAACTTCCGATTGTTTTTTGTGCAATTTATTTATTATTAATTGTTTTATATCATAAATATTAAATTTATTATTTATTTGTGACAAAAATATATATAATGATAGGAAGTGTTTACAAATTATAGACTCAAAATATATTTCTCATTTTACAGCTCAATAATAGTAGCGTTTTGTAACATAATATTTGTTATCAATGTATTCATGAATGGGAATAACACAAAGAAGTGGACACAAGAATGGGTGGCAATAAAATTGATGACATGATAGGGGCGGTCATGAGTTACGCCATCCAAATGTTTAAATTATTCCTAACGGCAGAGACTCTGATAATAAGTCCGATTCCGTTCGTAAACCAAACACTTCTTTCCCAAAGACTAATTGCCGCTAATCTTCTTCTTCTTCTCAATAATGATTTCCCTTTCAATTGAAATAAATTTTATTACTGTTGAGTCACTCAATGGCTATCCTTATTGTATAATCTAAAGCATTAGATGATAAAAATGTCGTAAAATATATTATTAATTAGCCATTAAATTGAAGCACTAATATATAAGTTTGGAGTAATTTTTTAATTCATTAATTAAAACTCAGACATTAATATTGATTTGTTGAAAGCAATTAAAAACTTTAAGATTAATAATTAGTTTTAAGAGTAAACAACTTATGGATTAAAGAAATAAATTGCAATTTTCATTGAAAAAGAAACACAAAAAACATAAAAATATAATGATTTGCTATAAAAGAAATGATTGAATTGAAGAGAAAATGGTGAAAATGACCGGCAATTGTATTTTGTAGATCTGATCCATACATGTATTGCGCATACATTGCATTCAATACTGCATTGCGTTTCTCTCGTAAAGAATATAACGAATTGTGTTAATACTGAAGAGAGAAAGAAAAAGAAGAGAAAAGAGTAGAGTATTACTCATGAGTGGGATTCGCAATCGAAGAGAGAGAGAGAGAGAGAGAGAGAGAGAGTTCGTTGGTTGAGTGGAGATGTGCTTTGATTTTTGGGATGTGATCAGCATTTGGCCCGAAGGAGCCGAACGAGTATTCGTTCATTAGAGCCAAAATGCCTTTGGGATCGACGGCTGACGCAAAGCAAAACTTCGTTAAATTTTGGACCAATGAGAGGAAGCCGTTAGGCGTACATGACTTGAAAACTTGAACCGAAAAATAAAATTGATTTAAAAATGAAAATATTATATAATTCTTTTGGGGCCCAAAAACCTCATATACGGAGCAGACATTTGAAACAACCGATAATTTAATTTGCAAAACATTTACTTAATTTTGCATAAAAATAATTATTGCTCACAAATATTAAATATATTGACAATTTATATGTTTGTATTCTTTAGGTCAATATCACTGATTATTGTGTGGCATCGGAACGGGTAATGACAGCAAACACAGCGATAGAGCCATGGATTCAGGTATATATTGATAAGCAAACGAAAAATACACTCCAGGGATGTATAGAGAAATTTGCTGAACAAACAGATTTGTGTTAAGAATTTTATGGCCGTTCATCTCATTGAGTGTACGGAATAAAAACTAACTGTACATCCATTGTATGGATGGGTCTCTCCGCTGAGATTCCCTGTGTATCTGTCGATTGCGGCCATAAAACAATATGTGAGATAATAATTGTCCGATTCATATGAATTCACTGTCGTATACGACATATCAAATCCTCCGACGATTCACAGACTCATGAATATTCGCAATACATTTTTGACATTTTATTATTTATACTCAGAAATTGTATTATAAAAGTAAACACAAAACGCACATAACATTTATCATTCAATTTTGTTTCAAACAAATTTAATTTTAAAAAATAACAAAACGAAAAGTTAATTCGCAACTAATTAGGGACTCAAAACCCCGGGAAAGAAAAGTCTGTCATCTCTTTCTGGCGACTATAACGACGAGCAAACACTGCAAAATCCTTTACCCAAACAATGGTTTTATTCATTATATACACAGAATATATGTTGCGATGATTTGAGAATTCAATTGATTGGTTGGGAATCAATCGATGAGAGAAAGACAGTTTGTTTGGACTCTAAACGTGATTAGAGGTCTAATTGAAGAGCGGAAATGAAGGCCTAATAGGAGAGAGAGAGAGAGAGAGAGAGAGAGAGAGAGAGAGAGATCAGAGTAAATGCAGGGCTCGTTAGACGTTGTATTTATTGCATTCGTTCCGATAAGCAGTGAATTTATATTATATTTTGGCCAAAACTATGCGCTAAAAAAGGAGGTCTATTGTGTGTTAAATAAGAGGAGCCTTTATTAGGCCTAAAGAGAGTAATAGTGTGTTTGGATTGCCTTAAAATAATCGATTTGGTTTAGACGGAGGGATCAGGTGGTTATGACGGCGCGCTCGAGGCTTTACGGGACCCCTAACTCTACACAAACTCGATGTAAGTTTTGTTTAGACCGCCGACTGATTTGCAATATTCAATACACAACTGTTTTTCCGGCAGTTTATTCTCGTTATTCTCATTTTGCAATCCAAATACTGACCGATAGTATACAGACAACTGATGCCATGTCGTTGTCTATTAGATTTACGGCTCGCCTCTGCCATGCATTTTCTTTCTTTCCCAATACATGTTTCCAGTAGTTATAGTGGAAAAAAAACTTCTCAATGTTTTTGTTTCTCACTGTGAAATACACATCAATTGTATGCCGAGTAATACAGTAAAGAGGCTTTAGAGGCAAATAAACTATTATTGCCTTCAAAGGTATGGCTCCTCTCTCTCTATGTGTTTGTATGGAAGACATTGCGAGACAACAGTATTGTTCCGAAGCATATAAACTAAGCCATAAAATAAAGTAAAAACAAACTCTTATTCTTTAATATAATAAACAGTTATATTGTGTGCACACAAAAAACTTATGCTATCAATAATAGGCACTAAGAAATGATAACAAAAAAAGTTTCGGATGTATTCATCCTTGAGATGAGAAATATATAAACAGAGTATAACTAGTATTACATATAAACTAAGCGTATTGTTGAATGTATTGAGTCTCACTTTTTTGTGGTTAATGTTCATTGAGTTCAGTGGGAATTGTGTGGACCGGGAGGTCATAATGAGCTAATGAAGCGGAGATGTATTGATGTTGTGATGCTCTGACGCTTACAACTGATGCATGCATTGGTGAACACAAAAATTCCACATCTCTTCCAATTCTCTCTCTCTCTCTCTCTCTCTCTCTCTCTCTCTCTCTCTCGTTATTGGGAGTAAAGCCGACTGAGAGACACATCGAAAGAGATGGAGAATGAGAGGCAGGATTGGGGAGCGAGAGAGACAAAGCTCTTCCTAATCAAATCATGGCAGTTGTGTTGGGTTGAGTTGGTTCGGCTCAAGGGGTGTCTCAGTTTATTTGACGGCTTAATTCCAAATAAATTGAGCAAAGAATCATATATTTGACGAACCATTCGCTTAACATATGAACGCCAGAAAAAATATTTCTTTATTTAGTGCTAAAATTGTTGGAAAAACTAATAAATAGTTATCTTTTGCCGCATTTAAAGCAAAACAATAGATTTTTGTGATTCTTAAACGCAATGCCTTTCAATTGAATGGAATAAAGCATATCATTGAACGCCGTGTTATACAGTATACTGTAGACTGTGTTGTATTATAATGAGCTGTCGTATAACATCTCTGTAAACATCTTAGGCATAGAGAAACGTGTCTTTGCATAACATTGGCTTTTATATTGTATAGGATTTGCCGAAAGTGCCGGTCCCTGATTTGCATCAAACGCTGGAGCGATACTTATGTGCTCTCAAGCCAGTCATTCCTGTCGCCCAATTTGAACAAACAAAACGTACTGTCGATCAGTTCCTGGAGCCCAATGGCGAGGGGGAGAGACTACAGGCGCTGTTACAACAATACGCTCAACAAACAGACAACTGGGTATGCATTTTATCCCATATTCTCTCCCCATTTATATAATAATATTTTTAACTGGTTTTTGCCATAAAAAGAGACGATTATTTTAATGCTAATGATTTTAAACAAATTGACTACAAATAGTATAACAAACAACAAAAAACGAGTTTCAACCCCAACTACTTCATGTGTCGACACATTTTAATTAATTTTATTTTTCAAATTATTTTATTTGAAAAGTTTATTTAAAAAATATTTCGCTCAAAAAAGTCCAAAGCATTTGATCCTTCAATACAAATATTTATACGAATTGAATGAATATAAAAGTTTTGAACCTATAGTTAGTGAAGAAGGAGAGAGCATTTATGTGAGATGGAGAGAGAGAGAGAGAGAGAGAGAGAGAGAGAATGGAGAGCCGTTAGAGTGGGATTCATATCATCTTATTCTCGATTATTCTTAATCTTATTTTTATTTTCAGATTATTTAGAGAAGGGAGTCATTTAGTTTCTGTAGCCATTAAATCAATGGCAGAGCACTTCTTGCAATTTTTACAATCGCACACCACTTCCCGATGCAATTGCCGGCCATATATTATACAGTGAATGGTGTGCTTGTAATGCATTACAGTATATGGCACTGGCATGTGATGGGGAGCAGGTGTCTCGTGTCGGGTGCCTATGAGTGTGTGTCTGTGAGTGTCTTCTTATCCAATATTCGATCGTCGCTTCGCAATCATTGCTATCATTGCCTATCGTTTCACTGCAATTGTGTCATACAATGAGGAGCCGGGGATTAGTTGGGATACTCTCTCTCCTCTCCAGACTAGAGATCCATAGGACTAATACATACAAAATAGTTGTGATTACATTAGCTCTGCATATCGGCAGCAAAGCTGAGCATATATTACATATACTTCACTCCAACACTTAATACCATCCAATACTGGTATTCATACAATTATTCTCTTATTATTTTAGTATTTATAAATAAATTAAACTTATAATTTGTATTAAAAAATATAATTGCTTTAGTTTTTACTAAATATAAACTTAATGTAAAAAGAAAAATTGAGACAACTATTTATTTAAACAAAACATTTCCTACTATTTAGTACTCAATTATTTCTGATCGCTTTCCTGATAGAGAGAAGTGGTGTATAACTAGCGTTGATATAAATTTGTTTTTCGGATTTTAAATAGAAATTTCCCATAAAATTCTCACTAATAGGGTTTCTAATAATATTATGTAAGTGATGGCAAAAATTTTGCATAAAACTGGGAAATTTTCACCGCAAACTAAATTCCATGTTTGCCAACCCTATGTGTGCAGTCCTTCACTGGTTTAGTCATTATTGAATTCATGTAATATTTAAATACATTAATAATATATTGGATGTGTTTTAAAAGTGTTACGGAATTGGATTTCTGACAAATCTTTTTAATCAATAGTTATTTTTTGAATCGAAGGTATAATACGACCCCTGAGATAGAGCCCACACTTTATATAAATCTTGATCAAATAGTTATTCAAGAATATTATGATTAGATGTGTATATTATTTGTGAAATATTGAAAAACAGGCAGAGAGTAAAAGAACGTGATTTCAAACAGTTTTTCTAACAATGAAACGAAACTTTCTAATACCCAATGAGTGGATGTAAAGTTGAACTGAAGTCTCTCTCTCTCTCTCTCTCTCTCTC